TAACAAGAAACATTTGCTTGTCTCGAATAAAGGGTTTTTACCCGGATTTAGATCGTTTTCTCTGTATGGCAAATTGTTAAAAATGTGCCCTAAAATGGCCGCTGAAAGCCCCCTCAGAGGGGCAAAACCAAGATGGTGGCCCCAGCGCTAAAATACGAATCGAATTGAACTGAAAGTTATATTTTTGTGAATCACTTATCTAGGCCATTCATCTGAGAAAGTTTGAGGAATTTGATTTTTTCTGGTCCAAATGGCCATAGTTGAAAATTACAGTGGACGCCTCTTAAAAACATGAGATTTCCAAGGGGCAACTATGAGGCCGATAGTTCCGAGAGATAAACAATCATACTGTCTTTATTGTCCACCACTAAATTATTTTCCGCACGCCATTTCTAGTTTTAAGAACACGAAATTTTCGAGGGGCAACTATCATGTCGAGATTTCTGAGACATAAACAATCTATTGTCTTTATTGTTCACCACTAAATTATTTTACGCACGCCAGTTCATGTTTTAAAAACATGAAATCTCCAAGGGGCAACTATCAGGCCGATAGTTCTGAGACGTGACATAAGCAATCTATTGGCTTGCTCACAGAAAAATATTTTCTTCGGACGAGTACCATCCATCTGGGTATTTTCCCTCGACGGGCACTATGGGTTGATAATGTCTCTCCATGGATGAACACTACCGCGTCAAGTGATCCATTTAAACCAATAAGAATTGGAGAAAATTTAGTGGTGAACTATAAAAATCAATAGCGAGCTCACACAGATAGGTCACTGATAACATATCACGTTGTTTTGCTCAACTTGGTTCAATGCGTACTCCTCTCGGCTGTAACAAGAATCTCCTTTCCTAAAGAAAGAAGAGATTTGATACTTCTGACTCGTGCAAAGCATTAATCTTTAACTTCACTTCCGAATAAGTTTTAGGTTTACGCAACCAACGAAATAATCATACCTTAATTATATCAGGAAACTCGGTTGAGGTTACTTTTTCATGCTGAATCCAAGAATTCATGAAAGTGGGGTTGTCCGCGTTAATTACTTCCGACTGCCATCGGCGTGGATGGCGAGCGCTGCAGGCTTGAGCTTCAAGGGGTCCGGGGTTATGCATCTCAGAAACTTTATCCGATTTAAACGTAATTTCCTATATTCTTGAGACTTTAAAACCTTTGTCAAGGCATGATATAAAAGCTGGAAGTTACCTTATTTTTTCACCAGAAAACCAAAAGTTAATTATGCAGTCGCGAAGTCTATCTTATCTTTTCTTAACTTGGCAAGAAGTCGATTGGTTGAAGTGAATTAACTACGTATACAACAATTTTATTCTATTATATCTTTTAACAAAGAGTCAAACAAATAACTGAAAATACTGCCCAAAGGGGGCAGGGTGGGTTGAAACTCATTCAGTCCCTTCCCTGGATCTGGTCGTGCTTTTTACCTGTCTTATATGAAGGAGGAAATCATTCTATTTGCATTTGGCGAGTATATCTGTTACAGAGTTACAGTGATTCTTTATGTTTCTACTTTTGCAGGTTTGCCTTTCGCCAGCGTTATACCCAGTGTCTGGCTTTCAGTGAAATTCAATTTCAGTGAAATTCAAGATGACGTCCACCTTTCCCCTGAAAACAGACACGTTTGTGTCAATGGGACGATTTAATTTTTGCGAGACGTAACTCCGTAAGAGACTGATTATTGAGAAACGAAAGTAGTAAATGATCAGTAAGTGAGATAATAGCCAGCAGTCAGTAGTAATTAAGTGATCGACATTAAGTTTCGTCTTAGAAGGTCAATATGGTGATGGGAATAAGGAAAATACTCAACTAGTACTTGCTGATATTGTCTTGATGTAACTTCTTAAACCTGACATCAACGGAAACGTATGATATTGAGTAGTTAGAATTCAATTTTCCTGTAACCATCATTGTGCATTTACATGATATAACGACTCGCATTCACGTTTGCCATAATTGTAATCGAAGACAGTTTATTTTAAGTCCACTATTGCTTCTGTTTTCATACTCTCAATTTCTATAGAGAAGAAAAGTGTGTCTTTTAGGAGGATTTATAAACAGCAGAGAACTGTTTACATGAGAAATCTTGGGACACAGGCTGACTTGAGTGGAAAACATCTGGTTTTGAAGGCAGTGAGCAAATAAACACTACCCCCACAAGGGATAAACAGGGACATGTAGAGCATGAGCATATTCCAGATCTGAAGGGACCTAGACCTGGGAATAACCCTCCTACAAGGGACAATTTTTAAGCCATAAATCAGCCACTTGTTTTGTTTCATCATACCGCCGCCGATTTCAAAACAATTTCAGTAGAAAGTTTGCTTCGCTGCAGGCCCTTGCCAGTGACATTCAGATTAGTCCTAAGCTCAAAACGTTGATTCTACACCATCATTTGCGATCATGCGCTTTTCGACCAGGGCTCTAGCTCGGAGCTTTGAATTCAGTTTTTAGTGTTCGAGTAGCTTCAAGTGCAAGTTTATTTGCTCACACTTGTTTCAACTACGATATTTGAAGTACAGTAGAAAAAAAAAAAAAAAAAAAAAAAGAAAAACAAACCAGAACACTTCGAAAATCTTTATAGAGCAGTGTCATCAACATGTAATGTTTTAGTTTGGGTCGAGTCTGTCAGGGATTTCAATGGAGTGTGGAGAATGAGGAATGAGCAGAAGAAGAGAGCCGCCATAGAAATTTAGTCAGTTAATGAACGTTTAGGAGTTTTTTGATCGCTTNAAACGAACAGAAAACAAACCAGAAAAAAGAAGTATGTGGTGGCCAAAGAAGCAGACGCTTTCGAGTTGGCGACCAAACCAGTGAAATTACTCAAGTAGTAAGTTCGTAAAGTAGGTGATAAGGAATGACTTAAAAATAATAAGTAACTAGATAGAAGCTTAAATAATGTAGCTAATGCGAGTGTTTACAGTATTCATGTTTCGCCAGCAACGATGATCATTGTACAGTCTCCTTTGAACTGATTAAAAGACATGCATTTCATTTCAATTGAATATTTTTCTAGATTTACGGGGCATTTTCTCTTTCTAGTTTTGTTCTTTAATTTTGGCTTTTACCGACAGTCAAATTAGGAGAGCTCATCGTAATGAAAGAGACTTTCACAAAAGCGAAACTAAGACCTTAAGAGGTTTTAATTATAACTTGATGTTTTAGGACTCGAAACCAGATGACAAATAACTATTAAAGATAGTCCTGTAACCAGGTGGTTGATTCATGATTGAAAAACGTTACTCTCGTTTAAAAAATGTAAAAATTCTAGTAAAAATTCTTTTTGTAAAAGTCCCAACGTTTCGG